CTCAGTCACCTCTCCTAACACTTTCTCTCATTCAAATGCATTTTATCAGTCATTTGATCTTCTCTCGTACGTACATTTAATCAGTCATTTAAACGAAGCGGCGCCGCCCATTGAATTTGAACCCCAACAGCCCAACACCCACCCTTCCGTTCTCGCGCTCCCAATCGCCGACGCATGCGCCCCATGGCACGCAAAGTCATTTTGAGCAGTTCCGTCATGTACCGGTAACCAATCCATCGTTCATGCATGCATTCAGATTCGTGCCGCTGTGAATATTCCATTCTCACCTTTTTGCTGTACCAGAGATATACTTCATCAAATACAACTAGTAGCCCCCACCTTTGTCAGTGATATGACAGGCATGGCAGCATGTGACAGCCCACTCACTCCCTTCGCTCACACATAAATCCACCCTTTTATTTCACCTTAGCTAAATTAAACCGTCCATATCATTTAAACTATAAGTTCATTTTTTAAGTACTTCATATATTTGAATTCCAGACTCTAAGACCTTTAGAACTAGACCAATCCTGGATACATTTCAAACACGTTCAAATTTCAATGTTTCACATTTCATATGTGTAACAAACCCATTTCACTAGAAAATTATGAAAACTCATATTTCAATAGAAATATGTGAACCAAATTATTTCACAGAAAACTTTTTTTACCCAAATATGAAACTAAAATGTCAACTTGTGAAGCTGGTTATTTCAAAATGTGTAATGGTTTATTTCAAAAGAGTGAAATATATCATTCTCAAAAATGTGCAATTGAAATAGATGTGATTTTTGTGAAGCAAACTAGTGGAAAGTGAAATGTAGGTTCTGAATTGTGAAACAATAAATATAGAAAGTGAAATTGCAATGTATCATTGTGAAATTGATTTTTTTTGGAAATGTGTAATAATTTATTTCAAAAGAGTGAAATAGGTTATTTGAAAATTGTGCAATTGAAATATATGTCATTTATTTTTTGTGAAACAAGGTAGTAAAAAGTGAAATGTAGGTTTGGAATTATGGAAGAGTAACTATAGAAAGTGAAATTATATTGTATAGTTTGTGAAACTGATTATTTGAACATGTGTAGTAGTTTAGTTCAAAAGAGTAAAATATGTTACTTGAAAAATGTGCAATTTAAATAGGTGTTTTCTTTTGTGAAGCAAGCTAGTGAAAAGTGAAATGTAGGTTTTGGACTGTGTAACAGTCACTATGAAAGTGAAATTGTAATGTATCATTGTGAAACTGATTATTTTGACATGTGAAATATAGGTCGAATTTGAACGTGCTCAAAATATATCCAAGATTGATCTCACTTTAAAAGATTTGGCACAAGGAGTTCAAATATAAAAAAAGTTTCAAAAAGAAATATATGGTTTAAAAGATATGGATGTTTTAAATTAGCTAAGGCGGAAGATATGGATGTTTTAAAATATATTGTTATGGATGTTTTACATGTTCGATGCGTTTACATAACAATATGCAAAGAGGATGGATTCGTTTAGCCTCGCGATTCGAGAAGTAATAGAATCATGCAAAGAGGACGCGGTAAGTTTTAAGTTTGAACATCGAAACCTGTGATTTTGCATACGAACATTGCGATTTCCTCGCTCGCATGTGTGAAGTTTCATAGATAAAACTTTAAGTGTTTTTTCTTTTCTTTTTGTCTTGTGTCTGTCGTAGGCAGAAAGAAAACGTGGCTAAGTTTGAACGTTGAAACTTGACATATATTTCTTGGAAAGTCGTCATGGTCAGTCACAAGAAACACGAATAATGAAAACAGGAGCTAATTAGGACTTTCCAGGTCAAGATTAGTTAGCATCTCCCCTTGGCCCCCGCGTCGCTCCCGCAAGGAAACATAATGAGGGAAGGTATCACTATATATTTCCTTGGATTTTCAACATAGTATTAATCTAGTTGTTGATCCCTTGACTAAGCATATTAGTCATAATGTATTTGGTAAGCATGTTAAGACTATGAGTTTACAAATATTTGAATGATTGTTTTGGACAAGTGGGAGATATGTTGGAATTATGTGTCCTGCAACTATATTCAAATTACTTGGAATTGTTAATATTAGTAATACCTCATTATGGAATTATACATGTATTTATACATGGAATTGCTTTACAGGTTTAGCATGGAATTGTTATTTGTTGGAATGTACTTAAGTAATATATGTTTAAGGAAGCTGATCGATTATCAGTGGAATACAATATACAATTTATATTGAAAAGGCCACCCGGATACACTGATGATTGGAATGAGCAAGATTGTATAGTTAGATTACAACCCTAATGTTGATCTACGTAATTAGAGGATTGTGCACTCTATTATGGCGCGTTACTCACAAGTTCGTGCTTCGGGGACATAACTGGTAGAATCCGTTAACAGAAAAATATGATTGCGGTTGGTAATTTGATCTGGACTCTATCCCGAAAACTAGTTGTAACGACTAGAAATCTTATCTGTACAAAAGGTGGACTCTTTGGAAAGACAATATAAGAAGGTCCCTACGGGATATTCACTTCGGTGCCCAGGCTCATCTGCTCCCGCTCAGAAAAAAAAATCAAAATAAATACTAGAAAGATTCAAAAAATTCCAAATTTTTTGTGTGTGATAGATAATTTTGTCGCGTGAGGTCCGCTCCAAATTTTAACTTATTCGTACATCTGAGTAGCTCTCGGCAAGAAAGACAAATCGGGTCAAAACAGTGCGTGAACAGTAAACATTTTTACATACCCTGATTTTGTCTTTTTTGCCGAGAGTTGCTCAGATGCTCAAATGAATTGAATTTTGGAGCAGACCTCAAGCGTCAAATTATCTACCACCCAAAAAAATTGGAATTTTTTTGAATTTTTCTAGTATTTGTTCTGATTTTTTTTCTGAACGTGAGTGCAGATGAGCTTGGGGCCAAAACTCCCCGTCCGGTCCCTACCCCCTAGTCTCGGATATGCGAATTGTGAGGCCAACTCCACCGCGCGACCCCAAACGGACGTCCGTTTTGTCTGGTTCTGTCCGTTTGGGTAGGGCAATGGGGTCGTGTCCGGGCAGTTTCTGGGATGCGGTGACCGTGCGCCCAGCGCGCGGACGCATCCCGGCCGCATCTTGTCCGTGTGCACATTTCTTTGCAAATCCTTAAATTTTTTTTATCATTCATTTTTGGTACATGACAATACATCATTACATTTTGACTAGTAAAACAAGGCCAAAGAAAACAAGAACCACAAGAATACATTTGAGAAGATACCCAACTTCCATAACTGCTCCCTTGAGTTGGCTGAGGGTCTTCTCGATGCACTCATTGTTGATCTATGGAGGAGGCTCGATGTTGCACCCTCCTTTCTTCTTCAAGCCAGAAGTCGATGTTGCTTTCTCACACGTAGTATCGTGCCTTATTGCTTCTTCGCACGTAGTATCGTGCCTAGCCTCTAATCTAGCAACAAGTGCAGTTGTCTCATCTAAACCCTCTAGGCTAGCTAAAAGTGCACGAACATGTACTACATTTCGCTCTATTAATATATCGATGTACTCTTCTTCCCAATACCAAAACTTGCATGCATTCTACACAATAAAACTTAAAGTTAGCACCACTAGTGTAATCCGAGAGCACAAACCAAAGCTAAAAAAAGCACATACCCCATCGTTTCAGCACTTGATGAACACCCATCCGGGATGCTCCGGCGTTGTAGACACGCGGTGCACGACCACCCTTGGGCAGTGGCCGCACTTGATGAGGGGCAACGGTGCGCCGACGAGCTTTTGGGCAAGCACCGAGCCCGGCCGGCCGCCATTCGCGTATCTGCCAGCGGACCACCGACGGTGCAGATCCGAGCGGCTAGAGGACGAGCCACTGCCTGCATGTGGCCTTGCGGCCCTGCCAGGGCCTTCCGGCGAGGTGCCCGGCCAGTCCATGGCGCGGCCCGGCCTCCCACAGCCGGGCGAGCCCAAGACCGACCGGATCCGCCCCAAATCCGGCCGGCGGGTGCGCAAACCAGGTGGCCGTGCTTGGGTAGCTCGGCGGTGACGAGGGGAAGGGGCTGGGCGATCACGCGTCCGAGTTGCACGGCTACAATGGCAGCGGGCGGCGGCGGCGGCGGCGGCAAGAGAAAGAGTGGGGAAGAGTGGGGAAGAGTGAAGTGGGATGCGGCCGGAGAGAGGAAGGGTGGTGGATAGAAAAAGGCCCGTCCTGTGCCATCGACAGGCGGGCCAGGGAAGGACACGCGCAGATGGCCGGCGCGTCCGCATGGTGTCCGTTTCATCCAAAAGCGGCGCAAACTTGGGCCGCGAATGGGTCGAAAGCGGACACAAAACGGACAAAAGTCCGTTTGCTCCCGCGCGCTGGGCCGCCCCATTTGTCCGTTTTACCCCAAACGGACGGGCCCGGACAGGATGGGGTCGCACGGTGAAGTTGGCCTGAGCGGCACCACATATAAGCGCGAAGAAATAGGGGTAGACCACAAATTATTTCTAACAGTGGTTAGCTCTTGCAATAGCATGAAATATATTCGGATTCCACTATAAATCTAATGTCAGATTTTTAATCACGGCAAATGCCAAAAAAGTTGACGTCAAAATTCGATAGATTTTGCAGGCGGCTGGGGCAGCAAAATGTACTATATTTTTTTTTCCAAATTCATACGTGATGAGCATGAGATATTCCGATGGCAAACAAGGAGTTTTCTCGTGGCAAATTCATAGTATCACGATGTGAAGCTTCGCACCGGCAGGTCACCGACACCGCGCGCAAAAACGTCCGCCTTGCCGACACCAAAGAAACCGGACAGCAGAGCACCGACTCCTGCCCGGCCGTCTTCATGTGCGGCCGCCGCGGAGCGCGGAAGTCAGACAACGACAGCGGTCCGAGCCGAGCGCGACGACGCCCGTGACAGCGGTTATACGGCCCGTATGTATAAATCCACCTAACCAACCACACTGAAGTTATCCTACCTCGCTCCACGCCACTTCCCACTAGCTAGCCTCCAAGGAGAGCAGAGCACCATGACGATGCTGCGGGCTGTGTCCGTCACGGTGGGCGTGGCCGTGGCGCTGCTGGCGGCGGCCACGGCGGCGGAGTCGTGGCTGTACGAGGAGTTCACCACGGACGGCAACGTGCGCGCGGACTACAACGCGCAGGGGCAGCAGGTGGCGTCGCTCATGCTCACCCAGCAGTCCGGCGGCGGCGCCTTCGGCTCCCGGCAGAAGTACCTCTACGGCGAGTTCAGCATCCAGATGAAGCTCGTCCCCGGCAACTCCGCCGGCACCGTCACCTCCTTCTACGTAAATAAGCATTCCATTCAATTCAGATTCAGATTCGAGCACAGACTAGAAATACATGGTAGTTCAGATTCATGGAGGGAGTGATGCTACTTTCTTCTTGGTGCAGCTGTCGTCGGGCGACGGCCCCGGGCACGACGAGATCGACATGGAGTTCATGGGCAACTCCACGGGGCAGCCGGCGGTGCTCAACACCAACGTGTGGGCCAACGGCGACGGCAAGAAGGAGCACCAGTTCGACCTCTGGTTCGACCCGGCCGCGGACTACCACACCTACACCATCATCTGGAACCACAAGAACGTCCTCTTCAAGGTGGACGACCTCTTCATCCGCTCCTTCAGGCGCCACGCCGACCTCCCCTACCCGGGCGCCAAGCCCATGTCCGTGCACGCCACGCTCTGGGACGGCAGCTACTGGGCCACGCTCAAGGGCAAGGTCCCCGTCGACTGGTCCGGCGCGCCCTTCCTCGTCTCCTACCGCGCCTACTCCGCCGACGCCTGCGTGCCCGCGGAAGGCGGCCCGCTCTCCTGCCCCGCCGGCACCGACCGCTGGATGAACCGGCAGCTCGACGACGCCGAGCGCGGCACCGTCGCCTGGGCCAAGCGCGACTACATGCGCTACAACTACTGCGACGACGGCTGGCGATTCCCGCAGGGCTTCCCCGCCGAGTGCTCCCGCGCCTGAACACAACCGATTGAGATTTGAGTTCACGTCCCCAATCCCCCGATGAGATTCTACCTTGTTAGCTTGATTCTTTTTTCTGGTTTCTTCAGCAGCCGGCTCCTCTACCTCTATGTGTTCTTGTTTTCGTCAAAAAACCTCTCTCTGTTAAGTGTTTTTTCTTAACGAGAGGGGTTAACTCTAACGATAATAAACGTAAATTCGTTGAGTAAATACAGTAGTATTTAAAAGAAACTCTGAATTCGCCGTCCCGGCAACTGCACATGGCGTCTGTCTCGACACGTATAAACGCACCATGCTGTTGATCCACTCTGATTTGGATTACTTTGGGATTAACTGTAGCACGCAGCAGTAGATCCATATCATTATGAAACTTACGTAATAGATGACGTAGGTGTAGCATTTTTTGTTTCTTTCTCCTCTCTCTTCCTGAACTTCAAATTTTGGTTCGGTCAGTCGATTTCGAGTGAGGCCAAAAGTGGAGGCAATGTAGCGATCAATGTCGTCTACAGCGAGGCCGAGCCAGTACATTGCCCAAGGCAGGGACGACGATGAGGATCTAGCGGCCCCGAATGAAAGTAACGGATACAAAACTTGTTTTCATTCTTTTTCAAAATTTTGGCTTGAAGGACGGTTTAGTCAGAGTTCCCTTTCTGGAAGGCGCCGGTCAGCAGGAGCTGACGACACTATTCCGGTTGATGTCGTGCACAAAAACGGAGCGGAGCTACTGCACACACCAGGCGGTGCTACTTGATGCTACCTACTCTTATCATCATGTTCATTCATTTGCCGCCCCTCAAATGGGTAAATTCATGTGAGTTTAAGAGCGTGCGTCCGCCCTTAAACTCGCTCAGACTATATGCACCACTGTATATATTGGAGCTGCCAAAATATCTTTGGTCGGAGGTCCCGGTCCAGGAGACGACGAGCGTCGACGGTGGTGTGCCAGGACCTGCGCACGCAGTGGGTCACGGCGAGGCTGCACGGTGGGAAAAGGCGGAGAACCTCCGTGAGCACGTCCTCGGGTAGCCGCTGCTAGATCGCCGCCTTGCCTTGCTCTTCTCTCGGCATCGGCGTCCAACAAGAAAACCGTCCTCATCTCGGGCTCGGGGCTGATCTGTTCTCTCCTTGGGATGCTCACAAGAATAATTATTGAGGACATAAGCCACTCCTGATCCGAACATTACTCCGAAAACACTCTTTCACGGGCGAGCCTCCGAACGCCTGAGATTGTAAAACATGCCACTGGACTTTTTCTTCCTTGAATTGTACGCTGCTCATCCGTGATTAAAAATTGCATTAAACCAACGGTAGAGAAAAGAGACACCTGCAAACATCTTCGACATATCACGCTTTAAAGAGAGCAAATGGTGTGCCTTGACACAGATCTAGAAGTCGTTGAAGAAGCATCGGCTCAAGCATCACCCAACGCATTACATACTTGCAATCCATCACCCCCGGTCCAGAGGGTTGGAAACCCGCACCATTGCCACAGAACAACACGGAAGAAGATGATGAAGTCACCACACCAATGGCCAACCAGTTACTCCCTTTGAAGGACACGACAACTGCCAAGATCTAAAAAGAGCCAACAGATCTGGGACACAAACTCCCACAGGCCCTTTGCCGGCACCAGAATGAACGTCATCAAGGTAGGGAGAGAGCGGAGAGTTCTTACTCCAACACGTCATCATCGCCACCACCTTGTTGATGTCATGGAGGAAACTAAAACTAAGGAGAACAAAAGGGAACGGACGGACGGGTACCCACTCCTCCTCTTGCCACCAGGCAAGTTAGAGGAGGGGGGCCGATGCAGCGGCGTGTGGGGTAGAAACTTGACGGGAACGGCTAGGGTTGAGAAAATTGCACACTTCCTATGCCACGATTTGTGACTGAGATTTACCAAAAACATGAGGCGGGTGAGAACTAGCAAAACCATATACAAAGTTACAGTGCATTGTCGTTCTAAATCAAAGGGGGAAACTGCACAAATCTACGTCTTGCAGGAAATTTAGACAAGGCCCACGATGCGCCCTCCCTCGGGCTACATCAAAGCATGAAAGATTATGACCCCACTAACTGAAAACAAATAAGCAACAAGCGACATCATCCGAGACTCAAATGGAACAATGCCAACAACATGCAGCATTTCCAGCACACCATAAACACCTAACCATGTTCCAGTACAGTGATATTAGGGCTCCTCTGCCGTACTGCACCCTGCCGTTGGCTCACTGACGCGTGGGGCCGGGCCCACATGTCAGTGGGCTGACAGCACGTCAGAGGAGCTGCGTCCGTGATATTACCAGTTGCACATCTCGAGACAGATCATGAGTCGTGATACATACAAGCTTCCGCGTCAACGTCATATGAAATGGGACTAACTTGTCGACAAGAGCAAGTCTGATGATGCATACTGACATTTCAGCGAAAAGGAAGTTGCGAGCTTAATCTTCAGCTTCTGTTGGCGTGTAGACAGCTTCAACTTCAGTGATTGTAGCCTCAGCCTCACCAATCTCAGTGCCTTGTTCATTTGACTCCTTCAACTCAGCCTGCAACAGGATAACCAAACATTTGTTGAACTAGCTGAAGACAAGGTTGGCTGTGGACAATTTTCTAACATAGGTAGAAATTTCTGCAAAATGCTACCAGAGTTGCTTTCAAGTCTGTCAGTGCAGCTTCAAGCCGCTTGTGGCAGTCTGGGACCATCATTCTTGACTCAGCTAAAACATTTTCCTGCACATGTACAAGGCTTTATTCAGATCTACTACCAGGATCTTCACATGGAACAGTGACTTGGAAGAGGAGCAGGGAGACCAACAACCAAGTACTCGTGTTGCGTGTCCAAAAACAGATCATAACATCTCGCTGTAGGTATGAGACCAATCAATGTGAACAACTATCTTTTCCAATCCCAATTATATCAAAAAATATTTCATAACTCATCAAACATATGTATGCCTTACATATCTTAGTATGTCTGATAATACTAAAACTATACGTAAAGCCCAGAAGAATGTGATAATACTACCCGGAGGAATGCATATGCCACTTGTTAATTTAATACACAATTCTGCTTCTGAGTTATAAACTACTCCCTCTGAGTTATAAACTACTCCCTCCATTCCTAAATATTTGTCTTTCTAGAGATTTCAACAAGTGACTACATACGAAGAAAAATGAGTGAATCTACACTCTAAAATACGTCTATATACATCCGTATGTGGTAGTCCATTTGAAATCTCTAAAAAGACAAATATTTAGGAACGGAGGGAGTATAACTACATCCATTCTGATGCTCTATTCCATCTAGTATACATCTGATATACTCCCTCCGTCCCACAATATAAGATGTTTTTGCAAGCTAACATAGCTTGCAAAAATGTCTTATATTGTGGGACGGAGGGGGTAGTTTTTTACATAAAAAAAGAAAATCTTGGCTGAAGGAAAGATATAGGCGATCTTATATATCAAGCAATCCACATGGACTAACGCAAAGAAAGAGAGAAGGTAATCCACATTAAAAGAGAAACAAGAGGCGTGGTACGTACTGAATTTTTTTATGCCAGGCCTTAAGGATAATAACTGGGATGGACTAGAAGCAGAGACCTGAACTTCTAACCAACATAAAACCGTTACATAGGTTGCATTGATAGAATTTATCAGTAACATCATGGATACCCAGCCATATCGCTACTATGTCACAGCCATTTCAGAGCAAATCATAACACTTATGCAACAGTTGACAAACACCAAAATGTTACTCGGGCCAACCAATCCTCAAGGCTTCACAGGGTAGAAGGTCCTTCTATACTTATCCACAGCAAATTCAATGATATGCCATTCTAATAACAAAATCTGTTCAAGGAAATCGATAACAAAACATGTGATTGACCAGTCCAATTTACCAAGGAAAACCAATTAGTGTCCATATGACACGAATTACTATCCACCAAGCTTGTATTGACTAGATTAGCATCCATAAACTACTGAAACCATGCTACAAGGGACCATCCTAAGGATAACTAACATACTCCTTAGCAGAGAGTACTACACGAAAGTATTACTATACATGGTCAGCAATTGTGCTGTTAACTAAAGAGCAAGAAGAACTGTAAGCAGAGCTGCTGAATGGAAGATCTTTCAGTCACCTGCTGCTTGAGATCATAGGGGTCGGCGCCCTTCTCCTTCATGTCGGCGGTCTTGGCGGCCTCCTTCTCCACCTCCTTCTCGTAGGAGCGCAGCTCCTTGACGATCCTCTTGCACGTCGACGTCTTGATCTTCAGGTTCCTCAGGGTCGCCATTCTGAGATGCGGCCAGGGGCGGGATCCGGATGGCGCACCGGCGCACCCAAAAAATCGTGGAGGTTAGTTCGGGATTAAGTAGTCACTGGATTGAGATCCAATCCGATAATTCGCGCTCGCTCTTTTCCTCCTCGTCAAGCTAAGAATCTAGCAAGGGGTGGGGAAGAAGTGGGGGAGAGCTCACCTTGCTCTGGTTGCAGCGTGGCCGACGGAGAGGCGGCTGGCAGGGAGGCTTGACG